TTAGGTATATCTTCGATTTTAACATTACAGTAAATAAGATTTATAATTCTCTAAGGATTTTACCTGTTTAATTCCTATTCTATCATAAATTTATTTATCTCTCCTGTTGTATGTGATAACGACCTTCTACAAAGCCGCGCACTCTTAATGAGATCAGGTGTGCTCTATCTGCTTGATGGGCCCACCGTACCTAAAAGATATTCTGGAAGAACCTGGCAATACTCATTGTGCTGACTGCTCCGATAAGTTTCCCAGTTTTGTGTGTACCAAGCTTGGCGCTCTTTTGTGTAAAACCTGTGCAGGTATCAAAGTTACTGCTGATAAACATTTTGAAAATTAGAAACACATGTAAAACTTAATCGCGATGCTGTTGAACTTGGCCATTATTCGAAGGTGTATAAGGATTTGTCTAAATTTTTGTCAGAAAAAGGAAATAAAGTTGTAAATGAGATCCTCGAGTTTGAGCTGCCTCCGTTCTACTGCAGACCTTGGCCTGGTAATACGTGCCCCGATTTTGTACGTGAAGCCTTTGTTCATTCAAAATATGATTCATTGGAGTTTACTAATGGTGCCAGACAAAGAGGTGATCAAAGCCAATACTTTTGTTCTGAAAAAGTTGGAATTCTGTCCAAGAAAGTGAAAAAATCATTAACATTTGTTGATAGAAAATTTCAGTTACTTATTGATCGCAACTTGTTCCTATACTTTTTTAAAGCTGAGCATGATGAGCCAAAGGTTTCTGTGAACCTTGATAATATGAATATTTTCTTCATAAATGAAAAGGAGTTTGAATTGCCTCCCCATACAATACTAGTACATTTCAGCGACGCCGGTATTACACATTTCTGGTATCTAAGATCAACTACTAGTAAAACTATTGTTAATTGGTTCAATGCCATTCGATACGGCAAATATCATAGGATTTGCTTGAATTCAATGACAAACAGAGATATTTCATCTCAAATACTTTCATCTCTTTCCCACCCTACAATAGTCACAGGCTGGTTAAATAAAACAGGTCCTAAACCAAGAGCAGCTTGGAGAACACGATGGTGTGTTCTTATAAACCGTAAACTTTTTTATGGCGAGGATAGGCATATGGATGAGCCAAATGGTGAAATATTTATAGGACACGAATCTGATCACTATGCCGTTGTTTTGGGTGTCCACGAATCATGCAAAAGACCAGCTGGGCCCAGCTTTACTCTTCATACTCCCTTGCGAATGTATGCATTGTATGCAATGACAGAATCGGAAAGAGAAAAGTGGGTTTCTGCCATAAGCAAGGTAATATTAACACCACTTTCTTTAGACGATTACAAACTTAATCGAAATTGACTCACGTTGGCTATTTTGTATCTATATACTGTTAATTTTGCACAAATATATGCCAAACTTTAGATACTTTTTTTTCGAACTCTGCTTCCATTTTTGCAAATGCCTTACAAGTATTGCCTCAAATTAAAAGTATATTGAAATAAAACGATCCACAACCTTTTCACACTTGTACTTTTTGTAGGCCTGTTAGGAATTTGGTTTGCATCTTACTTTCAAATATGTACGTCCATCTCACTTTATTATATTCCATATACACTTTATCTTCTATGTTATGCTCCCGGGAGTCGGGCACAATATGCAAATAATGGTACCCTATCAACCCGATTAATAAGGCAGAAAAAGCTGGCGTCCTGAATGCATGAGCATGAACTAATTACTCTACTATAGCTGCACAAAATTATACAAATGGGGAAGATATATTAGTGCTTATGAGCGAGTAAGAGCTAAGCAGGGTTGCTACTGCTGATTTGATCTTGATTCAGGCTAAATATGGATCTAAGTCTTGGAAAATACTTCTCATGTTAAATTTGAATTAAAGAAAAATTAGAAGAATCGTTATACAATAATTTTAAGACAGCCATTTATAGCCGACTGCCTGATTAAAAAGTGGAGTGAATCGATGGAATTTATTTTGTACCTGCATATAGGTTTGTGCCTCTACCTAGTTTGTATCACATTGGTGATTTGAAACTTTTCCCATATACTAGTGATACCTGGGCTATTTGCATTATGATACAATTATCTGTAACATCTATAATTGTGTCCTTCCGAAAAGGATTCATCTGAATTTATCCCCTATCGTATCCTATAACTAAGATAAGTGAGTGGTAGGCTTGGGCATAATTATGACTAGAGGGAGTTTATACTATGCTCCAGTAGAATGGAATTTTATCTATTCAATATATTAAATTACGGATTTAGGATATTAGGATAATTGATGCACACCATTTACTAT